CAAATGAAGTGACGCTGCTCGTGAACTATCTGAAAAGGATCGGCACGGAGCTGCCTACGGTACTCGGATGAAGACCTCTGTAGTGGTTGTATAGAACCCAGATGGACAGATGTGGCTAGGTATCAGTGAAGTGAAAACAAAGCTGGAGGGAGAAAAACAAACAAAACTATTTTGAACGCCGTTCTTGTTCAAATGACTCGGCTTCTAAGCAAGAGTTCTACCGTCTAGCGATAGACACGATGGACACGACCCTCGTCAATGTTCCCAAATAGGATGAAACTTCAAAGTCAGTGGTATTTATAAGGGAATTTAGTGATGCGGCACTCCATTATCATCTCATCCGCATGGAAATTCGACGATTGGATCGGTTGGCTGGTGGGTGTTTTTCCCACAGCACGGACTACGCTGTGATGTGGGACGCAGGAGGTTAACCGGCGGCGGGGCGCGTCGAGGGCGACGCTCGAAGTGAGAGGTGGCCATGTAGTACTTTGACTATTTATTTAAATCTTCGTTTTGGTTTCGTAGGCACTAAAGTTTTCACCTTTGTACTTAAGCTAGGCGACATGGACTCCGGGCCTTGCCAGTAGCTCCTTACCCTTCTATATCTCTTTAGAGATAACTCGTGATGATGCAGTATCTAAAATTCGTTAAAAAATATGCCTGTATTCACCAGATATTGCATCAAACGCTTGTCAAGTATTTCAAAATGCCTCCTGCAAACTGTCAAGCAACTGGATCTAAAGTTATCCTCTCCTGGAGTGATGACGAATTCAATAGGAAATGAATGGTTAGTTTTTAAAAAAGTCCTTGTATTACATAAAACAAGAAGATACTAGGGTCGACAGTTTTGAACTTTTCTGAGCACATAGCTTAAAACGATTTTCTTACATTGAGCTTCCTCTACAGTCGGAACTTGTGCTGGTCACAGAATAGAGAATTCATATATCATTCATAAAAGTAGCATACCACGGTTGACTACTTCCTTACTAGAGACGTGATATTTTTGTCCTGGACTGACAATGCTTAGAGTTTATACCTAAGTGGAAAGTACAAGGCATAAACTATCCTTGTTCTACAAGCTGTCCCCCTCTCCACTCTCCCCTTTTTGCTCCCCTTGTCGTAAACTAACGACTCACTTTTTTTGTCCCCACCACACAGCACGTGTTTGTGTGTGTAAGGCATTTGGGTAACACATCAAAGACAGCACAAAATTTCTTCTACCCTCTACAAAGTATGCTTTTTAGGGCTTCAGTATGTGCAGCATATGTTAGGTAATTGCAATAACTCCTCTCACCAACGGAACAAGATTTCTCTTCTAACTCTGCTTCAAATGGAATACTTTGAATTGGGGACCGAGTATAAAAGGGAAGATTAGTTTGTGGTTTCATGGTTACAATTCACGAGTGCTGCCATACCTTTTTGTTACTAAAGTTGAGTTGGAACCTCAAAGATTAAATGCTGACAGAAATTTACTGTTTGTTTATCACAGTAAGGTCATCAATAGCAGAAGTTTCAATAAAACGGTGGAGTTTGACGTCATGAGGTTCCTTTTTTAAACCATTTAGCAGAAAAAGATAGCAAAAACAGATCCTAAATGTTAGAAAGTTAGTGGTTTGTGTTTAGAGATATTCTGATTAATTGTGCTATCTGGACGCAGCGCATGAAATTCGAAGGGATTTAGTTGCCTGAAGGCTATGGAGAAGTCGGAATCTTGAATTTTCTTATATGATTTTCGATTCGCTATGATTAAAAGGTCATCAAGGGGGTCGCAATATCAAGAACCTGATGACAGCTGTCATGGAAAAGCGTTTGTTTTGATACAAGTAAATATTGACATGTCTACGCATAAGTTGTGCATTCAACCATGTTTACCAGCATTTAATAAACTTTATGAGTCAGGTCATATAAATTACACTTGTACTGACAGTTAAAACTATCTATTCAAAGAAACTTCAATTAAAGTACCTAAAAGAAATTAACTTTATTTTACCATGCCCCGAAGATTACTTGGAATTTTATAGTGTCCCTAGTCTTTCCTGAGGACAAAGAGAAATCATGGTACTGCAACAGAAGGGCTGGATGACCAATGACAAGGCTTGGAGGCCATAATGTTTAACGAAAGTACGAAAGCGGAGACTTCTGTGCCTGCAAAACCAAAAAGAGGAGGGAAACTCTCAACAAAATCATTACATAGTCCCTCTCTTCTCTTTCAAACGTGGTTTCTGAGGCTCGTCTTGATCATCCCACCTCGTCGACCATCACAGCGTGGTCGGTGCTGTGAGAACATCACCCAAGAACTAGCTGTGGGAGAGATCGAAGATGTCAGACTGCAACCTCACTGAAATCTTTTAGAATTCCTGAAGAATGCAGAGTTTTGTCCTCTGTAGGAACAGCATCGAGGGGTTTAGGAATGTACAGGCTCTCAGAAGTCGAAATAACACTAACCTAAAAGCCGAGTTATTTTATGTAGACTGGGGTTGAATTAGTTTCGGGCGGATGGGGTTTAGCGTCTATTCCACCATGTCGCTTTCTCGCACTTCAATGTTGCCTAGCCGCATATCCGTCTGGTTTCTATCAAGTTGGTTTCTTCCGTTTACTTTATTGACGTTTTCGTAAATGTACCATACACAGCTCCGTAACGAAATTTTCTAGGTGGTTCACAGCCACGGCTGTTGCAGTTGTGAAGGTAGACAGCATTTTTGACCTGTCACTTTGGGCTCGTTACAGACTCAATCATCCGCAGCTTATGTATTTAACATTCATCATTGGAAATCAGTGTCGTTTTCCTTTAGGATCAGATTTATTTTCCGCTGCCAAAATTGTAGCTCTCTATGACTTACTTAAAGACAAAAGAAGCCATAATACGAGAATAGAATGTGGATTGCTGACGTAAAGATGGGAAGGGTCTAATGACATACCCAAGAGGGCATGCCACCCAGCGGAAGCGAACATGCCAAGACGTAAATCCCTGCAAAACCAAACCAAAGAGTTGGAAAAATACTTGCTGAATTGCATTTTGGTCACCTCTTTAGTGAATAAAGGTGATAGCTTATGTTTGTTTTAGGTTATGATACTCAAGGATCCTCCCACCAAATTAATCAGATAAGTCCGTGTCTCTACTGGAATGAAGATGAAATAAGTGCAAAAAACTTCGCCAAACGTTTTATTTGTTAAGATAATCAACGTTATATCTCAATGGGACGCTAATCAGTGAGTTCCGCCTATCCAAAACTTATTAGTGGCTACCTTTTAGTTCCAAACTATCCATTCTCTACGAAATGGGTTAGCGTGATGCTGGAAAATAATGATGTTTCTCACTTGGAAAAATATAGTCAGGAGGGTACGTAGGATGAGGCTGAGGTGAGACATTTTTCCCTCCCATCCTGAAATGGAAATCCACTCAGAGGTTGGCTTTGTAATATGGGAAATAGGGTCTCATGGTTATTGTTCCGCATTGACTGACTAGATACAGTTGATTTTGAAGGTAAATCTTTTCCTCCACACGTTCGAGGTGTTTAGAGTAGACGAAAGTCATAATTCTGACTGGGCTTTCAACAAAAAACTTGTATCGGACGCTCTCATCAGCAGTTCACCACCCACAAAGCAGGTTGGGGCTTCTGAGGGTGAAGCGGTGCCTTAAAAGTGTGATGTAGGCAGTTGGTAAATCGTTTGGACATAACTAGTGTATTCTCTCGAGCTCGAATTTGGAATACAAAGGACATTTTTTAATGCAGTCAGCAAATGGTCTACTGGAGAATTTTTACTACATGCTAAAAGTGGAAAAGAAGAAACTGAAGACTCTCACAGCCCATTATTATCTGTTAACGCGTTGCCTGCAGAACCTATCCACTTTAGGACTAGGCATAAACAAATGGCTTCAACATTCGGTATTGCAGAAATTCACTCCTGATATGCTTGACAGTTGGCAATTTTCCCAATGGTGACTAAAATTAGAAGTCGATTTCAACACTGGAACCATGTCTGAGTGATATATTCTGCTATCTCTTCTTCCTCAAAAATTTAACAAGAACCTTCACCGGTATTGTAACCATGTTAAGTTCCGGTTTGTAGAGTAGATAAGTTCAAACAACATCCACTTGGTGCGACCAGCGTTCTACGGGTCTTTTAAAGTCAAGATGTCAGCACTGAAAAACACACAAAAGTTTTATCACCTAATATACCTAACAGTACTTCTGCGGCCATTCAGAACGCAAACGTACCCTACTGCAGGCAGCACGGTTTGTGTAAGTGACCAGTTTTAAATATATCTGACTCCACTTTTTGCCGAAATTATACGAATAGGATGAGCAAAACCTTCCATCTCCACTTTGTTCAGGATGAGTATGCAATAATCACCAAAAGTTCCTGTTACACAGTCATGAGTATTGTGGTTGCTTTCTTTGGCGGCAGACCATAAAAGATCCAAGAGATATGCTACCACATTGACAAGCAGATGCTAAGATAGGAGATAGAGAAAAAAAGCATAAAGAAAGTGTCTTTTACATGATTAATCTTGAGAGAGAATTCCACAACTGTGCGTAATTCAAAGTGCAATGGTTTGCAGCCCCAGTGTAAAGGTAACTGCTACTTTTCATACCGAGAGCTAGTCCAGAAGAAATTCAACCACAATGGCTCCGATAAAAACCACCAGTGGCTTTCCAGGTTAACTGTGATCATCTTAAGCAAATGTGTCACACATGTGTGACTTGTGGGTTCAAGTATGAAAAGCAGGGCGTCATATATATGTGACTCTGGAATAGAAGGAGTTAAGAAGTATTGCTATTCCGGTGATCTTATTTAAATCGAAGTAGGGTTGGGAAGTGTCAACGCAATCAAAATTTGTCACTGGTTTTTAAGGGACAATTCCGAAAAATCCCTCCCAAAACACAGACTGCAGAATATTAGTGTCTACTTAGGTCAAAAAATAACAGTAGGAATTTCAAGAATGACGACTGAAGGCGATGAAAATGCCTTGAGTGATGTCCGTAGTAATAAATAAACTTTCTGATTTAGCCTTGTATTTATTAATAACTCACAGTTCCCGACACCTTTGAGAAGACTAAAGAAGACATAATATTCTGGCAGAACAAGTATTGCTAACATGGAAAAGGATTAGGAGGACAATACTGTCAAGACTCAGAGGCCGTGGCGAACCTTAAGTGCATTGCATATCCCGGTTCTAATTTGGAGCATCGACCCCGATGCTCCCCTTGATCAACTCTATGCGTCGGCCATCACAACTTACTCGGTGCTGTAAGAAAAAGCAGCCAAGATCCATCGGCGCTAGTCTTTGAACTTTATTGTACTTAAGGAGACTAACTTCAAAGTCACTGGTTTCTTTTGGTAATTTCACTGGACCCGGATTTTTGTTCTATTTGGGGATTGCGTCAGAGAAAAGGGAATGCGTAAGCCAACACATGTGTCCATCAGTAGTCGCGAGAACACTGGCCTAGAAGCGACAATTCGTTTAAGGATGTGTTTTAAAATAACTTTGTTAGGAAAAGCCTAGCCTCTAACCCTCCTTGTCACATTGTTTTCACCTAAATACTGACCAGACGTACCAGTCCATCTGGGTTCAACCCAGCTAACAGAGAGGTGAAAAGGTATCACATGTTCGCTATAGGGATATCTTCATACAGGTAGTGCAGACAGCTCCATAGTCAGCTTTCAGACGGATCATAGGTACGGCTAATGGCACTTTAGCTGTTTATAGCATTTCTGCAGAACACTGGACTTGGATAGTTGCCGAACTTAGAAGTCATTCTCAACCCTTCTCTTAGGGGTCGTCACAGATTCTCCCATCCACAGCACAGACCCTTCTTCAGTCAAATTAAGGTTTAGCATTCAGTAGTAGAAATAATGGTAGTTGTTGTTTGGGGTCAAGTTCGCTTTTCGCTGCCACAAATGAAGCTCCCCAAGACTTGCCCAAAGTTTAAGGAAGGCATAATTCTGTGACTGGGGGCTACTACATAGTTCAAAAGCCATTTCGCCCGGTGGGAGTATAATCGGAGAACCTTAAGGGTCATTAAAACCAAAGCAGAAACTTGAACAAATAAGTGAAGCATTACACACTGATATCTTGAATATGTCTTCGCGACGATACGGGAACGGGCAAGTCATAAAAAGGGCCTAATGTTTACTTGCAAGGAAAAAAATATGCAAAAGTTTCCAAAGCTGAAGCATGTATGATTCATTAATTACATTCATTACTTCAACTATTTTCTATAAAAGTGGGAATGATGTTTGTTTAGCCCAAGTTGATGAAAATCTTTTGCAACCTATCGGTGACCTCAAGGTCATACAAGAAAATCGCGGCGTCATAAGCACGTGTCACTGCTGTCCATCATGTTATGTTGTTCATTTTCGGATAGCGTTTTTACATGGTCACATTTTTACGAAGTTCTTTAGAACTTTGACCAAAACTTGTGCCTGTTTTGTGGAAAAATATTTATACACTATTTTAGCGCCCCCTCGATCATTTACTGTAGCTTACACAAATTCTCCATCATAGGGATAGCAAAAACAGGTTCTTTTGTCACCCCCAACCTTACGTCACTAAAAAAGATTACAGATTCATATTTTTTACCTCATCTCATTTGATTGTGCAAGCACCCTTCCGTTATGTTCCCTAAAGTCGTTTCAGGTAAACGATTTACTACTGCTTAAATAGGGTTCCCTCGGCGTCTATGGCGCACAGCTTATCAGGACCCGCTTGTGATACACTTTTGCGTTTTGTGCATCATAATTAACAATTTAAGTTCCTCATGTGGTAAAAAGTATGATATACTGTACCTGAAGTAGGTCAAGCTCACTAATAAGTACCCCACCCGCGTCACGTATATGTGACGTCCAGGTTTCCTAACCTCATTCTGAAGTTACATGTGTGAAGGGCGTGCTTTGTTAACAACCAATAACTGGTCGCCCTAAGCTAACTTAAAAAGATGACCAAATAGATGTAGGATATTGCGTAATACTTCAATTGCTTACTTAATTTTTCGTTTTAATTTTACGGACATTTAACACTGCGCTTCTGTATATCCTCTTAGCGACATGGGCTTCAAACCATGCTTGTAGTCCTCCACCCATTCTGTACAGCAGCAATACTAAATGCTAAAGCTCTGCGCAAAGAAAGAATAGCTTATAGAACTGGTAAAAGTATCTGTGATGACCCCTAACAGAAGGGTTAAGAAATGATTCCTACTTTCAGCAACTGCGTTAGCGCCGTGGCTGCAAGCCATCTGGAAAAGTTCATTACAGAGCTGTCTATGATACCTTTAAGATGCTGTCAGTTAAATAAACACTAGCCGAACAGAACCCATGTAGACAGATATGTCTGGACATCACTGAATTTAGAACAAAGTGGCAAGGAGTAATAGGCGTGAAACCCTATCACCACATAACTCCGTTAAACTTCATCTTTGACCAAATGACTCCCCCCACATTTTATTGATTCTTACAACAGGTGATGGAAATATGGGATGGCCAGGACATTTCCCCTTCCCTAACAGGACGATACCTCACGTCCAGTGGAATAGACAAGAGGGAACATTGACATTTCTGTCAGATATCTTCTTGCTAGCATGCAAATTAGATGACTGACATGGTTGGTTAGTGAATGTTTTTTACAAGACCGACTACGTTCTGGTAGCCGACGCAATAAAGTTATCTAAAAAAGGCGCTGAGAATGACGCTTTGAAAGGAATAAGGGGCTACGTAATACCTTGATTACTTGTTTAACTCTTCGTTTTGATTGCTCGAACACTGCAGAGCTTGGTCTTTGCACTTCCTCAGGGCGGTGTGGCCTCTGGGTTATACTGGCAGCCCCTCTTTAGCCGATGTGCTTCTAAAAACATCTATTCTATCCAATTGCTGTATCTTCTTTCATCTTTCGGGAGGTCGTAGTACGCCACCATTTATCGCCTGAGGATAAACGTATCCCATATAACAACTTCTGAGCGACAGGCTATCATAAATAATGCCAAGGTTTTTGTCTGCAAGGCCAAAATAAAAGTATTTTTTTAAATACCTTAGGTGTCGACAATCCTGTCCATCCAAAACAAAAACACATTTAAAATTGCGGATTGTGAGCCGTAGCTGTTCGGCTTTGCGTAATTCAAGTTGCATATCCGCAGTTCGCCTTATCTGATATGCATTTTCCCTTCAACAGCTGTTATAGCTCTTAAGGTTCCAACCTCACCCTCCAATACACATACACTCTTCACACACAAGTGTTATACAGAAGTTACTTTCTTTAAGCAAAAAGTTAAAAAAAGAGTTTCCACGAAAGTAGCCTGAAACAAACGATGCAAATAAAGCACAAAGTACTAGTATTAAGAGGTATGGTGTGTTAAGAGGAGGTCTTGTCATCAGCCCCTGGGAGAAAATTCATTACTTAACAATAGTTAACCGTCTGGATGTACATGAATGCCTGATGTCATATCTCCGACATTAAAATATAAAAAGCGAAGCTATGTAAATAGTCTTCTTTCTTTATTCTTTATCGTGCTATAACAACCCAACTTGATAATGGCAAAAAAAGCTTAGTGTACTCACTAAGTATTAACTTGCCTTTTTCTACATCCTTCCAGAGTGGAATTTCATCTGATTTATTCATGAAATTTCGCCAGCTACGGTTGTGTGCTCGAGCTCACCTCACCGAACAGCGGAAGCCATGCATTCAGCTTTCGTTCTGTGGGTTTGCATCACTAATTCCCCAGCGGTTGTTTAGGCAACACCGAATTTCTGCCGCGAATAAACAATTTGTTTTTTTTAACTTTGCAAAATTATCCAAATTCCAAAAGTCTTTAAAGAGAAAAGATAATTATGTAAGTACTTTGAGGACGTGATTAAAATCTATACTTAAAATTGGCGGGCAAATTATTTGGACTTTGCGGCATGTGGAGTACGTGAGGGAAGTAGACCGTTAAAATCAGTGAGATGGAATCTACGGTCTCGTTGGGAAGACGGCTCAGTCTGCAATCGTCTTGTCTCCCTTGCAGTTGGTTTTAGTTCACTTGGAGGCTGTTGTGATGCCAAATGCGTGGGAAACATTAGGGCAATGAACCAATCTTTTCCTTCTCTTCATACTCAGCCTCACCAGGGATGACTTGAAGGTCTGGCAGACCATCTAATCGCTTACACCAAAGTTATTTTATCCTGTACGTCTTTTGGTTTCCAAAACCGCTATTTAAGCGCTGCATCAAGAGAGCAGTGGGATGCCGGGCACATTCGTCTATCTGTCTAAAACATGATACTTTTAAAAATCTAACTTGGACAGAAATGTCAACAGTGGGTAAATTTTGTGGGGAATGGGGAATGACCTCTTAAGCAGGATGAGAGAAGCTCGAACCTTTTTTTCTTAATCGTGTCTTAGACAGAGGTCTCTCTCGGGCACATTTTCGCCCAAACTGTGTTCCCTACGAGACGTCATCCATCCAGCTCCACCAGTTTGGACTGGTCTTATACCAGTCAAACCTAGCCGTAATCAGTGAAAAGAAATAACATTGTCGAATTCTAGAGTCATTTGTCTCATGATGAGAAATATTTACCTTTCTGATGAGAATTTATGTCTAGTTTACCCATTTATTATTAAAAAATCCATTGTGGTGGAGTTCCATTGTATTCCGCAATTAGGATCCACATGCCTCTCCACGTTGTTCATGCATGAAGGGCTTTTATATGTATTCTTCGCTCATTTACCACATAATTTGTAGCATTACACTCACTGGACCGTCCAAGCTGACCAGTCACGCATGTCATCTGGGCATTACCGAAGAGAGAGAGGCAAAAATTAAGACTTACCTCGTCAATGAATGAGCAAAATAAGTTTTTGAGTCTAAGTACAGAATAACCAGCCTTTCCATAGGCTTCCTTTGATCCAAGGACCTCTCATTTTTTTATTAATAATACGAGAAAAGGTGTTCTTTCGTCACTAAAAATCCCGTCATTATTGTTTTTATGAATCATTTGAAACCAAACGAAAATTCCAGAGCACAGTAGTGGTTAGACAAACCAGATGGTGCAGCATTTTGTTGTGCGAAGGTTTGACTCTACCATTCAGGCGGTCGTACAACTCCCACGCGTCACTCATCTCCACCCACCTGGACAAAAATGAATATTTCACACCGGTCGGGCAGTTCTTAGGAGTGATTAACGAAATGGCTTGGGGACTGGAGGCTTTGCGGTGTGTGTCAATAAACGACAGATGCGACCACGATAGGGAATGCATGATTAATGAATCGGCCTGCTCTGTGTGGGGGAATGAAGGGGGAGGGGAGACAAATTATCCATTCCTTTTTTGTTATTTACCCATAAACCGGAATTAGCCACACGTACCCGCGGACACACACACGAGGCACTCTGAGATAAGCATCTGCGATGGTCGGTCGATGGCGGTTACTCTTTCATCTTGCGTGCTAGGCTTCGCCCTAGCTCTTCGGTCCCCTGTCCCCACCCGCCCTTCCCCTGTCCCCTTCTCTAGTCCCCCAAAACACAACTAAACTTCTGCGCTTACCACCTTGAATGCGTCCGCAATACTAAAAGCAGCATCGGTGGTAACCCCCCTACCCTTGATGATACATTTTAGTGTCTGCTTAACATACTGATACATCAGCATCACCTGAAGACTAGTAAACAAGATTCCATTAAACAGAGAGGTTGTCACTAGGCTATCAAACATTTCAGTCCAACTGTTTTTTCGAAAGGGGTATGGCCGTCATTACAAGCAGCAATTTTGTGATATTTTTGGACATAAGGAAAGTATTTTATTACAAATTACTGCAGCACTCCAAGACTTTCTCAAATTCGAAAAAAGTCATAATGCTAGGACAGATTATGCGTTGCCAGTGTACAAAGAAGGACTGAGGCTCTACTGACATGCCTGAAGACCATGCCCTCGAGGTGAGGCACAATGGTGGAGCCTTAAATCTCCGAGTTACTTTTGAGCATTGTCTCTGACACTCCCCCTGGTCAACCTCTCCCGTCGGCCATCTTAACGTGGTCGACACTGTAAGAAAAAACCCACGAACCAACCCCGCCTGTCACCCAATTTGCATGCAAGGGAGAAGGTACCTAACCGCAACGTCACTGCTTCCTCTCACCAATTCCACTAAATCTAGAGTTACGTCCCCTATGAAAACTGCATTGGGAGAAGGGGGATTGTGCTGGACGTCAAGAATGTCCATCGCCAGTTGCATGAACGTTGAACTAAGAGCAAAGCCATTTAGTAAAGGATGGGGATTTTGCGTTAATCCGTCTATCAAGGTTCTATCCAGGTAGAAGAGCGGTGAAGGACGTTTCGCGTGTTGCCACAATTGGCGTTTTTATTTAGGTTCTTTAGACGGTTCCGTAATGAACTTTACCTCATGGTTTACGGCCATTATTAGTGTCGCTTTAGCTGTTAATAACATCCTTGCGGAATGTCAAAGGTGGGTGCTATTTTCGGTCCTTCTGCTGGGGATCATCACAGATTCTCTCATCCATAGCATGTGCCCTTCTTTCGTCACATCAAGATCTAGCATTCAAGAATAGAAATAGGGATAGTAGTCCTTTAGAATCAAGTTTGCTTGCCACCAATGAAGGACCGAAATTGTAGAACTCTGTTGGAATCTGTAATGCTAAAGGACAAAATGTCCGAGAGTTCGTTTACACCGTTAAACAGACAATTAAAGCATTATGTTAGTGCTTGCGAAATTCCAAGCTTAATCACAAATAAGTCACACACTACAGGAGGGGTCTGTGTTGAGAGTAGCAATGGTGCAACATTTGACTTCTCTATCCAGCCAGATGGATAGCTGGACGAATTCTATTTCCAAGTGGATAAAAGGAGCAAGCTTTAGGTGCTTTCGAGATTACGGTGGCCAACAATTTGCAAAAGTGCCATTCTGGCTGACGATTTCAATACCTTAATCAAAAGTAAGTCACCTGTCACGTGGGGTGTAAATCTGAGCCGAGCTGTAAAGATTTGTCAGAGCAAAGAATTCGGAAGGGCTCCACTTCCAAATGAGAAGAAGAAAATACGCACTTTAGAGACTCCTGCTTGTTAATGGTTATACGGAAAGTTTTGTTTTACCGAGACGTTTTAATGGCATCGCGTCCAATATGGTGGACAGATTGGTGCTTATCGATGCTAAAGCTTAAACCGATACATTAGGGTAGAAAAATGGGATCTGGTCAAAGAAGTTGGAAGATAAAAGGGACTGAATTTACCCCTCTGAGCCCCAGCATGCACCAACATGCTGAAACTGTTTTTGGATAACAAATTGCGGCATTCCAACTCCACAACAACTTGTCAATTAAATCTGCAAAATTTGATGGATAGACTGGAGGATCAATAAGTCATTTTTCTTCGCGAATTTGCACGCCTTAAACCGCTATAGACACCAAGTTTTCCCTCTAAATTCAAACATTTTAGTGAGGGAATTTTATGTAAACACCGGCGGACATCAAAACATAAGAGGTCCCCAAAACCTGCAATTTTATCATTCATAAAATGAAAGGCATCGTACAGGTATTTATTTTCAGCCCAAATTAGAGTGATTAGTCATTATGTGTTGGTAGACTGCACACGTCACGTATACGTGACGCTGGGCGAAAGTATAGTGAAGCACCCAAATTCCCCTTTAAATCGGTGCTTTATATCAATATCATCCCAAATAACAAACTCTTTACTCAAAACTAACTTAATAAAATTTCGTTTCTTATTTATCTTAGACAAAAATTATTCCAAAAAACGCATAAGTCAATCACGAGGTGATGTAGTTTGCAATGTAAATAGGTGGTGGATCGGGAAGAAGGAGGGATGAAACTCAAAGTCGTAGGCTTCATAGGCGAGGCTTCACACATGAGAACTCAAAATTTGGACTTTCGACGCTGTCCTCTCCACAAACTGATCGAACTGACGTTGAGCAGCTCGTCAATCCTTCGCGATAGCGCTGTCGACTCCGGTTTGCAACGATTGATGCGGTCTTTACGATGACACATTTTGCATTTCACCTCACAACACCTGAAATGGAGAGATTTTAAAACTGAAAATAGGATATAGTTTGCAGTTATCACCACCCCTCTCACGGCAGCTGCAGCAAAGAAATATCAGCAACACGTTGTCAAGATACTGATTAATCATCAACTCTTTGAAGTTTAAAAAAGACTTTTATTGAATGGCATTTGTCAAAGGTAAATTATGGGGAGACTGATTGGAGTTAAAACAACCCCTCTGCTCAAAAGCATAACTAATGAACATTTTGGTGGACTTATCTTCGTGTTTTATGGTTTATGTTCAAATTGGATGACTTTAGGGGGGTAGGGAGGCTTATAAATAACTTTCACTCCTATACAACCACCATAAATCCACGCCCAAACCTGCCCGTCTATCCCTCTTGCTCGTGTGAAAGTCGTTTCAGGGGGAAGGAGACGGAAGGAGGAAAAGGCATTATGGTGTGATTAGGCCTGTTCCCATGACTGTACAAGGGATTTGAGGCTCTGCCCCTCTGTTTGTTCATCCCGTTGCCATGTCAGAGGAATAAGTGCCTTGGACCACCATCACCCTCACCAACACCGTGCTCGTTGCTGTGGCAGCAGAAGCGGGGACTGACTTGTAGAAATACCTGCCTGTCATGAGGAAGAAAGCCATGGCTCCTTGACATTTCGTTTCCCCGGTGTAGGTTCGATGGATAGCTGTCTATTCCAGCAGGCGATTGCTGAGACGGCTCCAAATTCGGAAATGCCCTTCCCTTGGGTGATTGATAATGTATAGCAGTTTTTTTTAGAAGACAGACTAATCAGGTTAACTGGCATTCATTCATTACTCTTGTACCTACTGTTTCAACGGAGTCAGGCCCATGGAGATTTAATAGTCCTCCCCTTTTATTCTGGTGGTACGTGATCTCCATTTTCTGCTGCATGCCCTCCAGCCACACTTGTAATCTTGCAGCCCTTTGGTACACTAACTAAACACGAATTCACAGAAGGCTCGAAGGATGTCATTGCAAAGAATCATCAAAAAGGCATCCAAATCTCTTGTTAAATACGATTTAAAGATCAGTGCTCCAAAAGTTGCGGTTGATAGTTCCCTTTAGATTTTTAAATATGGAAGGGAACCAACCAGCTATCAATTTAAAAGAGTAGTTTCGTTTCTAAAGCCGTGAGATCGCTGCAAAGGACCATTTCACAGCTTTTTAATTGAGTGCAGCCTTCATTAGAAACGTGTCCTTTACCACCACCACCGTGGCCGCCAATACTGACACATATATGTGACCTCCCGATTTTCATATCAAAGCCGAAGTGTAATGCATGTGTGGAACGTTTAATTAAAAGGAAATAAACTAAGTGGAAAAGGAGAAATAGGCAAAAAGCGTGTTACAATCAAATAATAGAATACCTCGTCCGCGGTGGCTGCCTTCTCCTAAGGGTAGTTGACAAACAGGTCAGGGGCCCCTGATGTTGATTAGACGCTGCCAAATTAGCGACTTTCAACTCCTCATTATCTCTTTTAATTTTGGGTATTCAGTGGTAAAAGTTTTTAGCAGAAGATAAGTTCTGACCCCTGTGTCCTTAGATATTCGAAGTTCTAGATATCTGAGGAGCTTATCCTATAAAATATGTTAAAATTAAACCAAAATATGGTCCTAGAGGGTTACCTCTGATACATACTTCTTTCGACCCGAAAAATCAAGATTGCTTACTTTTACATCAGGACATCAGTTGAAGAATAATGACCACAGCCTAAATGTATGCTGCCCTACTAAGACATATGCTGTCATTCATTCTTGTAGGGACGGAGGCGGTCATCCTCAAACGGAGAACATTCAAAATCATATTTGTTATTTTAAACAACCAATCTGTTCGCAACAAGCGATTCAATGAAGAGCACATGCCACATATTTAAGACATCAGAATCGGAGAAGAAAATAGGGTCTGACACATATTCGTGTCGCCAGTACCGACTATTGGTCAATATCTGGAAGGGGGAAAATCAACAAGACCTCAGCTACCAAAATTACTCATTTATAAAAGGAGATTTTATCTAGGCGTCGTTTCTTCATTCATCTCCCAAAAACAGGTTTTACTGCATGAGTAAGGCGGTATGCATTTCAGGACTCGAGTTGGTTACCTCCTTGTTCTGCACCCACGAGCAAACGAGTAAACGAGCATCAAAAATGCCAGACTGAAAGGCCTGGGAACAACCTGTCAACGTAGCCTCACAAGAACCGCAGGCACACACACACACTTGCATTGCGAGACAGACCTGTTCCAGAAAACGGAATTCTCTCCTCTCATTCACTCACCTACCGACTAGGTGTGTGCTGCTTGTGCATCGGCAAATCTCACTATCCAGCCCCCTCGGTGGCCTTAGTCACCATCATCACATCAACGACTAAAGATTGTGGTGTCCGGAATTTCACCTGCGGTTTGTGGTGGAGGCGGCGGTGGCGGTCCACGAGAAATTGTGGTGGATTGATTAAGCATTCTGGTGGGAAAGGGTGAGCTCGACTACAGAGTCGGCGGAAGGGGGGTGTGGAGGTGGGGTATCCGACACTTTTACAGGGAACCGCCTTTGTTTTTGTCTTTGTTGTTAAGTAGATGAGATCTGTCAAATCGGCGGTTGTTTGTGTGTCGACGATAAAAGATAGTAGAAAAAAGTGGATGCCTATACCCTTATGATTCAATTCCTCAAAGATGGTAACAAATTTTGTTGTTATATTTGTTTGAATATAAGTTTCAACGATGTTATGATTCATACGATAAGAGGTTAGTTTGATGGAAGTAGATAAGGCATCATACAGGTACTAATTTCCATCCGTGATCGAAAATCCGGAGATAAATAAGGTAGTAAATGGAGTTATTATTATCTCCAACTATAAACTGACCCATTTGTAAACATTGTAAAACCACCAGAAGAAAAGAGTGGGTTGTAAACTGTTGGAATAAATACCTACTATCCTGATTAAGCCTAACGCAAAAGCATTTTCTGGTGTCATACAGTTAAAAGCCTTATTGCTACTGAAATGTTAGAAGCCTTTGGTCGGTGCCTGGGTGGTTCCTGCTCTTCAAATTACCTTCCTTGTCATCTCCGCAAATGCTACCAATGCTTTCACAAGCAGTTCTTCCTTCATTTCGCACTGCTAGTTGTACCCCGTTGAAATGGGACGAATGCGCCCTTCTACCACTTACAGACACAAGAGCTTTCAGTAAACAACACCCAGCAGTTTCCTCAACTTTGGTGCAATGTATCCACTATTTGCTCATCCATTAAAACTCCAGAGTGCCAGACGGAAATGGCCACGTGACAAGTCCAAGCTGGATTGAATGAAATAGTGTGGCATCATTTTAAACGCCCTTTTTTTTGCTCGACAAATCAAAAGACGTCAAAATTCGATCACTTAGTGGTAACTTATCTGAGTTCCTCTTAAACGTTATTTGACGCTAATTTTTTTAGTGACAAACTGATTTTTTGCGCAGACATCATTCAACCGCAGTATATGTGTTAATAGCCGTGACACCATTTATATGGAAGATTTGTTTTGGGGGTTTCAAGAAAGCTCACTTACAATTCTATATTCATTTAACAATTTTAATCTAACTTTTTGCTACTCGGTGTCGGAGTAAACAAGGAAACACAATGCTATATGAACTGGGATTAGAGACTTGCATTTACTTACCCTCCCCCTTCCC